ATGGTCAAAGGCCTTCTTCCCAATTCAGACAAAGCAATCAAATCAACAGCAGTTGGCTCACCCTGCCCCTGGCTGGGTCTGGGAAGGAATTAAGTTGAGGAGGATCTGTCATAGCAACTTTAGAGGTGATGGGCCAGTGAAGATATGATCTGCTGTGATGAACAGGAGCTGCAAGGTACTGGGGGTGGGGGGCAAAAGAACTAAGAAGACCAAGGCTTGGTCACTAGACCAAACATACATCATTTTATGATATCCAGAGATCCAACCTTGTTCCTGTGACTTTCCAAAGGACGAAAAACCTGGGATCTGAACAGCTGAGCCATGATGTAACATAGAGGCTCTTAGTACTCCTATTTTACAGATAAGTCAGGAAAGATTAACATCTTTCCAGCCACCAGCCATTTACAGGCACTCTGGGAAAATAATCTAGGTGCAATGGCTTCAAGTAAGAACCATTACTATGAATCTGGCACCTTTTTCCCCTGTGGTTATTGTCTTGGGTTTTTTTTTTTTTTCAGGGGGGTGGGAAGACAGGAAATAACAGATGTATGTCACCATGCCCAGCTTCTGGTACCCTTTGGATTACCTTGTAGTTTGTCAGAAGTCTAATTTGACCAGGTGCTTTAGGTGAACACACCCCAGTATCAGGGATGGGAATCGATGTAAATTAACCACCACGCCAGGTACTGGTTTAGTGATTGAGATGACATAATCAAGGCCAATGAGATATGAGAATTACTTTGCTGAGAATGTTTCTGGAAAAGATTTTTTTTCTTGCTTTTCAAAGGAAGGGATGCTCAAGATGTAGGCTCTCTTTCTTTTTAAAAAAAGAGTGCTGGGACCTCAATATGTGCTCTTTCACTGAGCTATACCTGAAGCCCCTACAGTTTCTTTTTAAGACATTATATTTTGTGTGAGGATTTGATGCTTAGAACCTTTCAGCTATCCAGCTTCTCTGAGAAAAATAAGGCCAAGGACAACATCAGCACTCTGAAGATGACAAAGTAGAAAGATGAAAGGACCTACGTCCGCAATGCTTCTGAGATGCTAAATTAATTATCCTGGAAGCTATCCAGTGTCTTTATGTTACATGAGCTATTCACATTCCTTGTTGGAGAAGCCATTTTTACCTGTCTTGTGTCACTTGCAGGCATAAGTTCCCCATACAACAACTCTGTCATGTCACCCATGTATTCTTCTAAGGTGCTAAAAGCATATGAGATAATCTGCCAATGCATGCTCTGTGATTTGGAAGGAGTTAAAGGAGTGCTGGAGTTGGCATCCAGAAAATTTGTTATCTGTGTCACAATCACTCAGCCTTATGCTCATCATCTATAAAATGATGGTAATTATGTTTATAATAGTTGTAAAAAAATGAATCATGTAAATGAAAGCATTTTTATACAGATGTAAGTTCTTTGTATCACTAGGGGCTTTTGAAAGTTGAATTTCTCCAAGCTTGCTCTCATGCCCAAGTTCCAACAGTCACTGTTTTTACTGTTTTGTCTTATAATGGCATTAATAAGATGATGTATGTCAGGGAACAGCTGGAACTCAAATAGGCTGAATGGGATTCTGACTGGTTCTCTCTGGGTTCAGTGGAAAAAAATCTCAGGATTGTTTGTGTCTTCCAAGGGAAAGGATATAGTGAAGTGAGCCACTTACCACTATGCTCTTTTAAGTATTTTTCAAGTTACTGCTTGTAAGCTCGTTTTGACTTGCTGGGGTAGTTGTATGGGATACTCTATGTAAGCTCCATGCCCAGCAAGTACCCAAAATATCTTTTAAGCGAGTACCATATAGTTTCTGTAGTTATGTATTTTTAGCTACAGACTTGAAAGATTTCAAACACAAACTTGTTTAACTGAATTGCTATTTTAAATGTTAACCCAATTGAAACTTCAAATATTTATTATGTTCTTGACATGATCTTCAGGTGTAACAGTCGTTCAATTATTTTCTCAAGTCTTTCTTGAATTTTGCATAACACTTATCTCAAAATTCAAAAATAAACAAAAAAAATCACCAACAGAAGTTTTGTAAACATAGTTTTTATTCTTGTCTTACCTTCAGTTTTCGAAAAAACCCTCATGCCACCAAAACATTTTTGAAACACTAAAACTCAATAGCCTGATGATTATTTTTCTATACAACTGCCGGATTATATTGCTTTGAAAAATTACTAAGATATATATTATTACTTTATTCCCTTTTTAAAGCAATATCCCCTCACATTTTTGTCATAAAAATCTAAAGTATCTCTAAATAGTCCCAAATGTCTTGTATGTATATTTGTTCTAAGTGTTTGTTTTGCTAATATCTTTTTTTCAGAAATAAGTGCACTTCTAAAGAGAAAACAAATTTTAAATAAAGAAAACAGGAAATAATCATGGTTGCAGCAAAACAGTCATTTTGAATGTTCTGAATTGTAATAATTGAAAAAGAAAATGTGTCTAGGAGTCAGCTATCTCTACTGATTAAAATCTCAATTAATTTATTTGTAGGCTATCAAAAGATAGACAGCTTTTTCTCCTTCCAGTAGAGACTGATTGTCTAAAGTTTTTCTACACTAAAACATGAAAAATAAATATGCTTAAAATTATTTTTAAATTTACAGATTAACACAGTTATGTACGTGTTAAAAAAAAAACGTTATTATGGAAATAAACAAAACACTATTTCAAGCCTTAACAACCAAAGACATTTTTAACAGTCCACATTTGGTACTTCCATTAAACTAACAAGCTTATTAAATCATCTATATATTTCTTTTAGAAGTAGCTGGTTTACAAGTGGAAATTCCCCATTTTCAGACAGCATGATGCTTTAATACTTTTAAAGATTTAAAACTATGTTAATAACAAATACATAAAAGAAAAATATCATAATTTACTTTAATACAAATGTTTTTAATAAAAAGCCAAAATCTACATTAAATCAGGAAACCAAAAAAAATCTGAATTATACAAGCTTCTATATACTTAGAAAAACCAGAAACATAGTTTGTAACAAAACTCTTAGTTTTAAAATAGCCTAAAGAAAATGTCATTATGCCCAGTGATTAAATAGGATTTTCTCATTTAAGTTAAACGATTCACCTGAAATATGGGAAATGTGTAAAAGTCAATCTTAAGGGCACTTTGCAAATTATCTGGTTAATTTGCATCGTGAATCAAATTCTTAGTTTTCAAAGGGAAGACAGTCTTTAATTGCTTTAGATAGGCACTTATGAAATGCTTTAATGATTAGAAATCCTTAAAGATTGTGAATCACTCTATTAACTCTAGGAAAGAAGGAGACTCCAAACAAAACAAACTTCCCAAAATATCCCTTCCACTGCCAAGAAATCATATTTCTAAGTTCTTTCCGATAATGACAATGAACTAAAATGTTCTATTCCCATGCAATGTAAAAGTTTGGGGAATTCATCTCCTTTATATTCATGTCTTAACTATTCATTATCACAGTGGCAAAATGCTTTTTTTAAAGGGTAAAATTTAAATATTTTTTAATCATGGTTACAGCAAAACAGTCACTTTGAATGTTCTGAATTTTAACATTTCAAAGATTGAATGTCTTTAGTAGTCAGGGACTTCTGCTCATTTACCTTTAAAAAACTGGATGAGTTGGAGTGAGAAAATATTATAAACCCCAACAGAAGTTTAAAAAATTGTTTTTGTTAATTAAAGGCAGCTATAACTAGAAAAATCAGGCAAGTTGAGTCTTCATAATTCTCTACTCAATATTCAGCCATATGGTCCAGAGCAGAAATACAGAAATGGACAAAAAATAAGTACTCACCAAATACTTAAAAATACAGAAACAAATAAATGAGGGGGACAACCAGAATGGCCTTACTAAAAACATTATGGAGTTACCAAGCAGCATACTTATAAAAGTTTTTGTAGATTTGCACAATGCTCTTCTGCAATTCTTCCCCCTTAAGGAAGAGATTCCTACAAATAAATTGTCGCTTAAGGTTTTGACCACAGATGATTTTGTAAATCTATCAATTAACAGTTAAGATAAACATTAAGTATTCTCTGATAAAGTGTTATTCCTCAACTAGAACATATGAAATCAAAACCTTAGGAAGTCATTTTAAAATTAAAAGGTTGAGCAAGAAAAGATTAGTTAATTCTTAAGGAATTATCCAAATAATTTGATGCTGACATTATCTCCCCAGTCCTCTAATCACAATCCCCTGGTCTACATTTAATTCTATTGGTGTTAACCACAGTGATGTAGCTAAACATCACAGTGCTGTCCTTGAATAAGTTCACTGCCATCAGATCTGTTATGTCTGAATACAGCATTCCCATAGGAAAGTAAAATTCTACTCCACTGTGAACATCCATGCTGTTCAAGATCTTTGGTACATTTGGAGCACAAGAACAATGACACAATAATACAAGTACTATCAAAGGAAAATTTTTCATCAAAAGAAATAAAAGCAATGATATGTAGCAACTTTTAGAAAACCAAAATAGTTCATAGTTCTCTACAAGTCTTCCTACATGATCAGAAGTCTGACATTTAAAAAAATAGTTTAATAAAAATACACTAGGTTCTACAAGCAGCCTTCATGGTCATTTCTGAAATTCAACTCACTATAATCAAATTGAAATAATGCCATGTCCTCTTGTTAAAAAAAAAGTCCTCTTGTTACAAGAAAAGCAGCTTTACACTTTATATAATACAGTACATTTTCCTGTAAGTATAAAGACTATGAATATAAATAAAAGTCATCAGTATGTCTGAACACTAATTGTCTTATTGGAGCGCTTGAGTGAAGGTGGTAAACTTCCTCTTCCTTATTAGTAACTTGTTAGTCCCTACTGTGGAGTTTGTGTAGCAACTTGATGGTAAATTCTATTTTTAAAGAACCAGTGTTATTTCTTTTAAAATTTCTTTAAATCATTATAGAAATTGTCTTCATATATATTCTATAGATGTCCAAACCAATAGGGAAAATGTTCTAACAGCAACTATGGAAGATGGCTGTACTGATTATCTAGACCCATAAGATTTGCAGCAAAACAGCAATACTGCAGTATTACCTACAGGTTAGCCTATGTTGCTTTAAATGATATGTATTTCTCCTGAACTGATTAGAGGTGTTACAGTTCAAAGCCACAGTATACACAGGGACCTTAATATGCATGTAGGCAGTACAGTTAGAAAGGGATGTAAGTCCCTTTTATTCCAGTACCTTTGTATAATAAAGTTAACAAAAATAATAGAATATTTTTTAAAAATGCCAGCTGGCACTGCCAACCAATTCCTGTCATAGTCTCAGAAATCCTAATCCTGTAGAATTTCCTCTAATATCAGTAAGCACCACCATCTTCAGGAGTATTTCAGTGTTGTGTTATCTATGCCAAGCAAGCCTGGTGATGCAGCTACCTGAGTTCTCTTGGTTGTAGGTGAATCTGATCTTCATTCATAATTTCCCAGATTTCATGTAGGTGGGGATAGAGCCACGTTGAGTCAACCCTTCAAATCTTTTATAGGTGTAATTGAGAAAAACCCAGTCTTTGGATTTGTAGTCTGGTTCTGTGGTATTTGGCACTAAAAAGAAAAATTAAATTAACCAATGGAATTTCATTAGTGAAATGTAACCATCTTTAGGCTTAGTCATAGTTGTATTATAAAACTGTTCTTACCTGGTTGTAAGATATCAGATTCAGGGAAATCATCAAAATTTGAAGTATCATCAATGCTTTTAATTTCTATAGGGATTGCTGCTGGCCGTTCCCTATAAAAAGATGAATTAGCAGTCCTGGTAAATTTTCTTGAATTCTTAATTTTCCAACAAATAATTCTTCTTGAAAATTCTAGAGGCTATTTTATAGATATTAGAAGGTTAAGGACATTGTGGATTTGAGAATAGTTAAGTGGATTTCAAACTAGTAGAGTATAATTTTTTTAGTAAGATTATTTTCATTTACTTGTAATTTTTATATTTTCCTAACAAGGCTTTCTCATAGTATTTTTTTCAGTGAAACAAACAAAAAAACCCCCAAGAACTAATGAAAAGTAAAATAGAAGAGGTTTTATTTAAAAGACTTTATAATTATATAAAGTATATGGGGCATTGTGGGGAACAGGATCCTAAGTGATTTTGGACTAGAATTATGGTAGAAGATCCATAAATCCAAAACCATTTGAGAAAACAGGGAACAAAGGATAAAGGGAATGTGTATTTGTGATGAAATCTGAATCACAAACCTTTCAGTCATAAAATAAATTTTAAGAGAATCAGGTATGTCAGCTTAAACAAACTAGTCATAAGAATGACTTCTGGTTATACTAAAAAATTCTACTATAGAAAGAGATAAAAGAAGCAATCAGTTTTTATTATTTTTTCAACAAATGTTTAATGGTTCTAAGTCTACCAAATTATATAAAAGCCTATACTATATATATTTTTAATCGTAAGTATTCCAATGTATTTTTACTTAATATACTAACTTAATAAACTTAGTTTAGTGGAACGAACCATTGACCCTAGATCTCTGAGCTCTAACTTGTTGTTAGCTAGTAATATGAACTTAGGCAGGCGAGTCCCAGCCCTGTGACTTTTTTTTATTACAAAAACAAGAAATTGGACTGGAGTAGGGGAGGGAGAGGAAGGAGGGAAGGACAGGGAAGGGAAAGGAAGAGAAGGAAAGAAAAAAAAAAAAGACTGGCTAGGCAGCACAGGGACAGAGGTGAGAATGAGGGCAGAGGAGAAAAGGGCACTTTAGGAGAATAAATAACAAATGACAAAACTGTGAGGTGGAAGGTGTAGGAAAGCCCATACAAGATTCAACTTGTACAGATAAGGCAAGAGCCATAGCTAGGCAGGCCTAAAAAGCCAATTGGAGTTGTTAGCTTCATGTTAAGTGGAAAGGGAAGGAGGAAAAGGAGGAAAAATGGTATGATTAGATTTGCATTTCTCAACTGTTATGAGGACAACAAACCAGAACTCTTTTTTTTGGGATAGGGTGGGGCAGTACTGGGGTTTGAACTCAAGGCTTTACACTTGCTAGGCAGATGTTCTCCAAGATGAGCCACTCCACCAGCCCTTTCTTGTATTGAGTGTTGTTGAGATTTCTGCCCGGACTGGCTTTGCACCTTGATCCTCCTGATCTCTGCCTCCCGAATAGCTACGATTACAGGAATGAGCAACCACACCCAGCAGACCAGAACTCTTGAAGGTAGTGTGGCCATAAACTGAAAAAAGTCTAATGCTCACAACTAATAGCTATAAGCAAATTCTTCAATGTTACTTACTTTATTTAACTCCCCTCCATCAATGTTTAAAGGAACTGTATGTTTTAATAAATTAATTAAGAAGACATAGCCTGCTGTATTAGAAAGACAACTGAAGAGTTGAAGTATGAAGTATAAATATGTCTTTCATGTGCTATGTGTCTTCATTATATAACTATGAATATAAGAATTCAGCTGGGCACCAGCAGCTCACACCTGTAATCCTAGTTACTTGGGAAGCAGAGATTGGGAGGATCATGGTTCAAGCCCAGCCCATGCAAAAAGTTCACGAGGCCCTATCTCAACCAATAGCAGGGCACGGAACTATGAGCATGTCATCTCAGCTACTTGGGAGACTGAGATCAGGAGAATCAAGATTCAAGGCCAGCCCAGGCTCAAAAGTTCTGTAGAGACCCTGCCTCAACAAAAAAGGCTGGATGTGGTGGCTGCACCTCTCATCCCAGCTACTGTGGAAAGCATAAATAGGAGGATCATGGTGCAGGCTGGTCCAGTTAATAGTGAGACCCTGTCTCAAAAATACACAGAGCAAAAAGGGCTAGAGGTATAGATCAAGTGGTAGAGCACCTTCCTAGCAAGAATACAAGGTCCTGAGTTCAAATACAAGTACCACCAAAAAAAGACTGTAAACTGATGTACAATATGTTTTTCCCTTAGAGTGGACATTAACTGAAAATGAGTCATTTAGCTGTAGCAAGTATAGTCTCACTCACTTAATTCAGAAAACACTGACTTAATAACCTAACATGATACTTCTTAATTTTATGTAGAATTAAAGTTAAATTAATAATGAAATCTAGAAACTTATTTTATTGACACTGCTCCCATTTAAAGCCTAGGAACATACCTTATGTGCCCCCAGTCTACACCTTCAAAAAAGGGATGATCTTTTATTTCTTCTACACCATTGTTCCCAATTCTGTTTTCAGAATCAACACAAAATCTAGAACAAGGAAACAGAAGTCGAATACAAGTTACATCTAAAGTAATTTTTTTGTTTACTGAAGTTAACTTTATTTATTGCAGAAAAAATGGGAGAAAATAAAAACCCTCTGTAACTGCACTATTTAGGGATACTACTGCAAATATTTTGAAGCAATTTCCTTCTAATCTCCTATAAAATATTAAAAATATTATGTTGATATAGTAATGACTATTTTAGGACTACTGTTTTCACTTAGCAGATTGAGAAAATTTCTCAAATACTTTTCTATAAATTCATTTAAAAAATTTGTATATGGAGATAACACAATATATTTAGTTTGTCCCCTGTTATTAAACATTTAGATTATTTCCAAATTTTCATGACTAAAATAACACTAAAACATACCTAAATCTTTATATATATATGACTATATATATAATACATATATGAATACAAGCAGAATTGCTGGGTCAAAGGTCATATACAGTTTAAACATTTTATATAATATTCTGCCAGTTGACTGTTCTCATAAGTTGTCCCGATTTATATGCTTCCCAGTCACTCAGAACAGTTCCAAAACACTTCATCTTAGTCAAGGAACAGAATTCAATCTTTTGCTTAGATTTTATATACAGACTTTCATGATATGAGTTTCTGTTACTAAAAAATTTATTTTCTCTTTTCTTTACATCCTAACAGGATTAATATTTTGCTTTATATATGTATATATATATATATATGTCGGTACCTGAGACAATGTAAGGCCCTTTCCTGCTTTTAAGAGTTTGCATTAAAAAAAAAAAAAAAAAAAAAAACTTTTATTTTTATTGACCTCGCTGACTGTATAGATCAGTAATATTCCTTCTCCCCCTCAAAAGTGAAATGGATCTCTGAGATACTCATGAAGTTTTATGACACCGTAGCTACACTAGCAATTTAACCACTAACCTGAGAATTAAATCCTTGGCTTTCTCAGAGATAGGTACTTCTGGAGGAAACACTAGAGTTTCTTTCCAGTTCATCACTTTTCTGTATGTTTCTTGAGGCGTTTCAGAACAGAAAGGTGGATAGCCTATATATCAACGAAAATGGATGGCTTATTGGCTTTTGTGATCAATTAAATTACACTTGCTAAATATATGCCACAACAAAACAACGCTAAATGCTCTGTTTAACAATAAAATAATTACACCATTCATCAATTTACAATAAAATTGCCAATAAAGTCAATAAAGGATTTAGAGCATCTCCCTAAATTCACGGAGATATAATTTTGATACATGGGAATTGAGATTAAATACCTCACTTCCTGCAACAGGATCCCCTGGAGAGTTCACTGGTATTTATCAGTAAGCATTTAACACTGAGGAATGTTAGACAAACGTTTAAAATAGTTCAGCTATTTTTGTACATGATATCTGTACTATGTTCTAAACAATGGCACTCAAGGAAATGTACATATTATGTACATAATACATGACAAAACATACCTATTAGCATTTCATACATAATCACTCCCAAAGACCACCAGTCACACAGTTTGTTGTATCCAGTCTGCATGAATACTTCTGGAGCAATGTAATCTGGTGTCCCAACTGTGGAGTATGCCTACAGAGGAGCAGCTTGTCAAAACAGCATTCTTAACATTAAAAAAAAATCTGAACATGGCTTACACCTAGAAAAAAGTACTACATAAAGAACTTATTTTTTCATTTAATACTTATTTTGCATGTTTACCATGTGTAAGATATAAGGATAGGTATTGAGTCAGATATTATGTTACCGAATACATGATTTCTGCCCCCTAAGAAGTAGCTAAGTCTATCTCAAACAGACTGAAAATACTGAACCAAGCAGGTCTGCCATTATTAATGTGTTCTTAGGCAAGTTATTCAACCACTCTGAGCCTCAGCTTCTGCCTAAATAAAATCAGGATAATAAAACCTGCCCTAAAAGAGGATAAGCAAGAAAATGAATGTTCTCTGTAAACTACAAACTACTATATAAGCATCAAATATTTCATTATAAACAATTCCAGAGCACTATTATCTATCCATTAGGAAACTATACTTTTTTTTATTCTTAATTTATATAAAATCCTCAAAAACTATTTCTTTAAGGCAGTAGAACTCAGTGAGGGTAGTGTTTTAGGGGAAATCTGAAAATGTGTGACAACAAACTTTGTCATTTTGATGACCTGGGGAAAGACATGATTGGCAGTTAGTGAGAAGGAACTTCCTGCCCTGTCTACTCCTGGAGGAAGCACTGACATGATGACTGCCGACCATGAGAATAGTAATACACACACACACACACACACACACGAGTTATTACCTGTGAAAACTCTAAATCGGTGGTATAGAATTCCCCTGTCGTATATCCACTTTTTTTTCAGACATGGTCTTGCTATGAAACCCAGGTTTGTTTCAAAATCAAGATCCTCATGCCTCAGCTAGGATTATAGGTACGTACTACCATATCTACCCCCCCTGCCATATTTTTAAGCAATCTTTAGTTTTTCTCCTTTTAAAGTAGGGAATACTGCAATTCTTTTCTTACCTGTAAAATCTGATCAAATGTGATTTAAAAGTAGAATGAAGTTTTTCACCTAATGCGTGGCTCAATAAACTTTTTAAAAACTGAAATGGCCCTGCATGGTGGTACCTGCCTGTGATTCCAGCACTTGGGATGCAGAAGTAGGAAGATCTCAAGTTTGAGGCCAGCCTGGGCTACATAACAAGGCTCTGTCTCAAACAAATGAACAAAAGTAATGAAATGTTTTACTAGCATAAAAACTCTGCAATTTCTTGGGCTAATGAGAGAATGAGCTCAATAACACAAAGGTCATTTACATGGTTTTAGAGGGTATCAGACTTATTTTTCAGTCTATTTACTTCCCTGAAGGAATGACGGATTAGTATCACTTTCCTCACTTGGTTCAACAAGCATTTATAGAGTATCTATACATGCCAAGCATCATAAAAGAAACTAGGAAATCAAAGTCAAAAGGCACATTCCTAATCTTAAAGAATGTTCACAGTCCTGGTTAACAAGATAAAGGGAAAGAAGGAAGAGGGAAAACAATTATTATATTTGCTAAATAACAGAGCGGAAATAGAGGTTAAAAACAGTGTAATTCTACATTAAAGGAGTAATTAAGTAATATTCATTTCTTTTCCTTTAAAAGCAGGGTACACTGCAATTCTCAACTACATAAAATCCGATCTAAAAGTGACACATTTAACAACAAAATGAAGGGTTTTTTTTGGTAAAGTTTCATATCTATTTTATTATAACATTGTTGACATTTCAAACTTCTTGTTCAGTGGTCTATAAACAAGTTCTTAGAAACTTACAACCAATAACTTACTGATTGGTATTTGTTGTATCAGGTTCAGAAAATGGAAAAATGGAAATAGGAAGTCATTCACTAAAAATCACACTTATCTCAGTGAATTTTATTTAAAATGTTAATTACTATTAGACAGATTACTTACAGGTATGCTTGACAAAGTACTCTAAAGTTAAACCATAAAGTAAAAATCAATAGTCAGGTAAAAGGAGGAAGTAAAGAAGGTGAATATGGTTGATGAACTTTTTATACAAGAATGAATATAGAATTTTTAAGCTTGTTGAAATCACCATAAGAAGAGGACTAAGGAAGAAAGGAGAAAAATGGAGGGGATGAACCAATTTGGGATACAATACATATATACATGGAAATTTCATAATGAAACTCTCCGTATAGATTATCTTAAACAAAAATATCTTTTTTTCCAAAATGGAGGACAGGGAGAAAAACATGTCCTGTTTGGGGGGTTGTTACCAGAGGAAGGGGGGAAGATATAAGGAAAGGGTATATATGCACATGTATGTAAATGGAAAAATGAGACCTGTTGAAACTAGTCTAAGAATGGGGGGAAAGGGTATAAAGGAGAATGATGGAAGAGGTGAATTTAACTAGGATAAGCATGTTTGTAAATGTCACAATGTCCCCTAATACAACAACAATAAAAAATGATAATTAAAAAAACTCTCAAAAAATTGAGTTTGCTTTATAGGGAAGAAAACTATAAAGAGAAACTAAGGAAGCTGCGAGATTCCAGGACAAACACCATTACTGCAATGAATACGCACTGATCTTTGGGAAGATACAAAACAATCAGGGAAAAAATAGATAAGATTTTAGGATCAGGGCACAAAATTCCTTCTTAAAAATGTAGTTGACTTACCAATTGTCTCCTGTTCTTCTTCCATGTTTCTGCTTTCCTCTTTGAATTCATGTTCTGAAATGCTAATTTCAACAATGTAGAATTGTAAGCACAAGGGCAAAACTTCTCTACAACCTCAAATCACACATATACCTCTAAAATACATGGATAAACTTAGGGGAGAGGGAGAAGAAGAGAATCTTCTATCCTTAACAGCATCAAGTTAAATAAGCTATAACCAGAGGAAGCAGCAAACTTACAGAAGTCACTTGGTGGGTTGTGTGTGAGATTTCTGTAGAATTCAGTCCTGTGAGCTTTCTTTAACCCCGTGCATAAACCAAAATCAGATAATTTTACATGACCCTAAAAAAAAAAAAAATCTAATAAAACTAGATTATATTAATTTGGAAACAAAAACCCCTTTATTATAAATGCTTTGAAATGTAATTAGTATAAAAATTCTTAGCTTGGAATTCATACAGGTAAAAATGTAAAATTATAAATTTTTGAGGATGATGATTTTAAAAAGTAGATAGCCATATCCCCATGATGTCATCTACTCCAGTCCTCTCCTACTGTACCATTCTATGAAACAATGTAGCTGACCATTTCCAATCACAAAATCAGCTCGATTACTCTATAAAATAACCAGCAGCCTAATAATGCTCCAGTTTATCACATGCCTTGGCATCCAATAAAAGGTTGTCTGGCTTAATATCTCGATGGATGAAACCCAACTGGTGGATTGCATCTATTGCTAGAACAGTCTCTGAAATGTAGAACTGTGTTTCCTCTTCTGTCAAGGTATCCTTCTTCATCAACAATGTCATCATATCACCTAAGTAAAGGAAAGTATCATGTTAACTGAAAATGCCTCAAAGAGGGAATCTTTTGCAAAAGCTTTCTTTGTATTTATAGAATATATGTCTGATTTGGTATTTTATGATCCACCCAGTAAACCTATAACCATCTCTGGAGCCAGATAAAAGTGTCACTGCATAAGCAAAAACTATATGGCATGTAATGGTTTTAGGGTAGAGCGTATCAAATCAAATCAGAGCAGAGCTTATAATGAAATAATATCTACCACTCAATGAACAGAATAAGTTGCTGAGGAAAACATGTCAAATTGTGCAAAAGATTCAGAATAAACCTATCTGGAAACCAGATATATTCTTTTCAAGTTTCAAAAACAGACTGAGTTTGTTAGTCCAACTAAAACTGTGTATCAGTCCACTAAAAAAAAGTCACTTCTAAGGCTGGAAGTGTGGCTCCAGTGTACTCCCTAGCAAGTACAAGTCTGATTCAAACCTCAGTACCACCAAAAAAAAAAAAAAAGAAAAAAAGAAAAAAAGTCACTTCCAGATATTCTTTTCAAGAATTTTTTTCTTTAAAAAAGGACAAATAAGTATTTTTAACTACTGTAAATGCTAGTGTACTTACAACATAGAATTTACATCGGATAACATTTCTTCATATCTATATTGAGTCTTTCAAAAAAATAGTACATAGAAGCATTCTTTGTCCTCTATTTCCATTCTATTTCCCTTCCCCTCTTGGAAGAGCAATGATGGATGGATTTGGTTTGGTGTGTGTCCTTCCAGCTTATTTTTAAAATTTGTTTTCATATACACTTGTTTTAATCTATAAATTTAGTCTTTTGTTTTTAAAAATTACATAAATGGTATCAAGCTATCTATGTGACTCCACAGCTTGTTTTATTTCACTTGGCTCTACTGCTGAGATTTTACTGCTAAACTTGTGACTTTACTGCAAAAAATTCACCAAATAAATATGTCAGATTCTGTTTTTCCATTCTACTGACGGGCATTTATTTTGCATCCAGGTTTTCACTATTATGCCAATATTGCAATGGGCATTCTTTTACAAGTCTGCTGTGTACATGTGGAGAGAATCTCCAGGTTGTGGAAGTGCTGAATGGTAGGACACATGCATTTTCAGCTTCATTAGATATCTTTAAATTCCTTTCCATAAAAGTTAGAGATCAAGATGCAAGTGTCCTTCACAGCCTAACCAACACTCAGTATCATCAGACTAAAGTTTTTGATAATCTGATACGAGTGAAATGGTATCTTATTCTTGTTTTAATTTGCATTTCCCTGAGTATTGATTGGTTAAGTTAAACCTTCTCCTAATATTTATAGACCAGTCAATGTTTCTCTTCTTGCATTGTCTATCACTTGTCCATTGGGATTTTTGTCTTTTTGTTTATTGGCTTCTTTTTCTTAACTCTATACTTGTAACAGTATAATTGGTTACAGTGAGTGCACAATGGTAGTATTTAAAATGTGCCAACTTCATTCATTCAAAATAATACTGTTTGTGGTCAAAATGAGGCATTACTGTGGAAGTAAATAATGGAAAACTGTGACTATGTAAAATCTCAGACCTATGAATATGTAAGAAAAATTAGTCAACAAAGTCATATTACATATGAAGATGTGCTTGGTTAGTCTGTCATTTCCATTTACCTCCAGGGAGAAATTCCATGATTAGATAAAGGTTCCTTTTATCCTGAAAACTGTAAAACATCTTCACTACCCAGGCACCATCTGCTTCTACCAAAATATCTCTTTCTGCTCGGATATGTGCCACCTAGATGAATATATTTAAAATAAATGTTAACATACTGCACATTTCTCATGCTTACATCTTACTTATCCACTGACAATGAAGGAAAGCTACAGTTTTAGAAAAGATCTGAAACATATACATGTTCATATTCTCATTAAATATAAAGAACCTCGGGAAAAATTTATTTTAGCTTATACCTTTAGGCCTGAAAAGGTGAGATCATCAGGTATGATATGGGAAGCTCAGGCCTTTGAAGCAGGACAATGACTACCCTACAAACATCTAACCGGCACCTCCTCCAGCCAAGAAGCCTGACTTGTTTAGGTGCTAATCTGACTACAAAGTTCAAAGTAGTGATGTCCTGTAGACTAGTATGACAAAGCCAAGGTTTGCTAAAAACAGCAAACTATTTTTTTTTTTTTTTGGAGGTACTGAGGTTAGAATTCAGGGCCTCACACTTGCTAGGCAGGCACTTTAACTGCTTGAGCCACTCCACCAGCCCTTTTTTGTGATGGGTTTTTTGGAACAGGGTCTCAAGAAGTATTTGCCCAGGGCTGGCTTTGAACCACGATTTTCCTGATCTCTGCCTCCTGAGTAACTACGATTATAGGCATGAGCCTGTACTGGCCCTGGCAGCAAACTACTTCTAACTATCAAAGAGCAGGCTTAATCTTTATTTGATAGTTTTTTTAAAAGAATTAGGGACATTTATAATAACTTTAGATTATATTAAATTAACATTAACCCTCTACAATATTTATAAATATTAGCTATAGCAAATTAGTGTATGTTTTTGAGGTTTTGATCTCAATTTGTCAGACACATAATTACTAAGGGTACTACTATGTAAACATTTTATAGATTGGAAAATTTTATAAACTGAGTAATTTATGGGGTTGGCATAACTGGTCAGTTTCCAGCTGCTTTTGCATGCATACATTTATACATTTTTTTTTCTTCAAAGATTAGTTAACAATCAAATTTGATTTTATACCTTTGAAATTTTCATAACAACTTTAATGGACTCTGGCCTAACGCACATTAGAAAATGTATTTGTAAGCCTTTCCTGGGTAATAAAATATGATATGCTTTAAGATACCATTTTGGAGATTACTGCCTTATTACCTGGTACAGTAAATGCTCTGACATCAGTGAACAAGAGTCAGGGAGTAAAAACTTGCTTTTTAGCATAAAAGATTATAATCTCTTTCTGGATCTGTTTCATTAAGTGAAGACTGGTAACAAAAATTCTTCTCTATTGCCATTTACAAAGCATTTTAAGGTGGTAAAGGAAAAGCCTTGAGTTTTGGGGGCTATATGTGATGTCAGGAAAAACAACTCATCATAAACTTGGCTTGATTATTTTTAAATATCTTAAAGCCATGTTACAGAACATGTATCTAAAATGGGATCCAAAGGTTGGAAAAGATGTGTACAGTAATCTGGTAACAACAGCTGCTACTTAATTTTGTGGGATGCTTAGTATTAGAGTAAATGCGATCAAAATTAAAATACAGATGTACTAAAATTGATTAGGAAAAGGTTTTCTATAATGAAATTCAGTGGTGACAAATGCAGATTAATTTATGTGGGTGGGAGGGGGAAGGGACACTCCAAAATGCAAAACCTAGTGCAAGATAAACTCCAGTGAGACTGCCCTGGTCAGGAAAGAGCAGAGGTCCAGAGGCTCCTCAACTTCAGGCAAAATATTCCAGACCAGGTCTGTCCAATACAAATATGATACAAGTCACATATGTACTTTTAAGATTTCTAGTAGCCATATGTGGTAAAAGGTACAGGTAAAATTAACTATAATATCATTTATGTAACCTAATATATCCAAATATTATCATTTAAACATGTAATCAGTACAAAAATCACTGAGCTGTTTTACACTATTTTTTTGGCACCAAGTTTTTACTTATATGTATTCTGCATTTATTTCAATTCAGACTAACTACATTTCAAGTGCGTAGTAGTCACATGTGGCTAGTAGCTGGACAACAGCCTGAACTAAGTGCTGCCTTTTTGTTCTTCCTTTTAAACCTTATCTAGGACTTATCCCATTATGGGTAGGTTACATTTCCATTTACCTTCTTGTCTGAGGATATACATCTTCACCCAGGACCTTCTTCCAATCCTTATAACTCTCTAAGCCAATTCAATAGCTCAACCTTCCTTGCCGTCTAACCTTCTTATCTCTGTCACAGATAAGAAGACTGTCAATAACAGTCCCCTATAACCTCATCTCTGAATGATTCCTATTACCTTCTCACACTACAGAAATTAGGTGAATGAAAATTATTTGCTTATGCCAAATGGATTCACTTTAAATTCATGATTGCAAACCTCAATAGACATTTATTCCCTAGCAGTTCTGCTTTTTCACATGTCAAGAAGACTACTTTACAACTTTCTTCATCCTTTAACAAGCCATCCCTCCTTTACACTACAGCCTGATGACCTCACTTTTTCACACTCAGGCTGGATTGACCACCTTACATTTGTAACCATTTTCTCTGCTTTTCAGAGAATCGGAAGCTGTTTTAATAAATGGGGTTCTGTTCCCGTCTTCCAGTATACTGATGTAATTATCTCCCCTCTCTTGCTGCATCTTCAGACTTTCCCTTTCTAATGGAAACATTTCTTACCTTTACAAACAAAACTTTACCAGTTTATTCTTGGTTCTGCTTCACATGAAAAATTTATACTCACTTTCTCTAGGTCTTGCTTCCCATTCTCTTTTCCACCATTCCAATTAGACCGCTCCCTTCAAATTCACTGAACTTGCTAAGATATTAAAAGCCTTCATGTTGTAAAATCCAATGGCTTGTTCTCCTCCTGCACTCTCTCTCTCTCTCTCTCTCTCTCTCTCTCTCTCTCTCAGCAGCATTCAAAAATGTTGACAATTCACCTCCTCCTTTAAACCCTTTCTTCTATGGGCTTCCCTGACCATAGTTCTAGTTTTCCTCTATCTCACCAAGATGTTCTTTCTCGGTCACCTTTGTGATTTCCTCCTCTGCCTGGTATTCCCCAGGACTTGGATCCAGGCCCTCTTCTCTATCTAAACTCCTTCCCTAGACAATTTACTTTCTCCTTTATTCTCCCCTTCCCCTTACTACTATTGCCCATCTTCTAATCTGCCAACAGTCCATCCAAGCAAATTCTACTGGCTTTTCTTTCAAAACATATATTTAACCCACTTTCACTTTCCTTCAACTTTACTGCTGTAACCAAAGTATAACCACAATAACATCTTGGCTGGAAATGCTACATACTCTCTCAACTGGTCTCCCTGCTTCAACTCTTGTTTTGCCTACATGCAAGCAGCAAGATTGCTTCATTTTTGTAAAACATAATCAGATATACCACTGTCTTGTTTAAATAGAACAAAACCCTTCAATAACACCTCCCCAACACACTGCATTCAGAATAAAACATGAATTCTAGATCATGGCCTTCAAAGCCCTATGTGATATAGACCTTCTGACCTTGCCCACTTCATCTTCTCCAGCCATAATGGCTTCCTTCTCCTCCTTGAGCAGCCTAAGATTAGTATCGCCTCAGGGTCTCTGTACTTGTTTACTTAGACCCTTGTCCAGATCTTTATATGTTATTTTTCTCTTCATTCAGTCTCTCATCAAATATTCCTTCCTCAGAGGCACTTTACCTACTCCTTGTAAACCCGGATCATATATATCACCTTATCTCTCTTTTTTTTTTTTTGGTGGAATTGGGGTTTGAACACAAGGTATTCTACCACTTGAGCCATACCTCCAGTCTGTTTTGCTATGGCTATTTTGGAGATGGCATCTTGGGAACTATTTGTCCAGGCTGGCCTCGAACTGCAATCCTCCCAGTCTCAGCCTCCCAAGTATCTAGGATTACAGACATGAACCATCAGTCCTGACTAGTATCACCTTATCTTAATTTTTTTTTCCTGTGTAATATTTACCAATCATGACAATTTGAAATAGCTGTCTGCCCACTCTCTCCACTATTACAAAAGAACAAAGATTTGTGGTCTCAGAACCAACAGTGGTATCTGGTACACTGTAGACACTCAAATATTTGTCAAATGAAATAAACAACGAAATAAAAGAATGCAGTGAAAATCCAAAAATTCTAATCTTTGAAAAACGGTAATTTAAAAGGATGATTTAAAAACATGGTTGTTTCAAAGGCACTTACAAGATTATACACATTAAAAATCGGGGTAAGGTATGTTAAATATATACTAGTGCTAAATATGTCAAGTATTTATTGAACACAGAAAGAAAAACAATCTTAAGAATTTTTTTAATGATTAAAAGACTCCTTGAAATATTTCATTTTCAACTAGTTTATCATACATATACACATATATATATACACATACGTATATGTACATATTTAACATTCATTCTTTCACCTATATGCTAACTTAATTCACAAAGAAATTAACTAGGGCTGGAGTCATGGCTTAAGTGGTAAAGTGCCTGCCTAACAAGTACAAGGCCCTGAGTTCAAATCCCATAGCACAAAAAAGGAAGTAAGCTGTGAGTAGGGAATAAAAGACAAATGAAGCATATGGTACACAAAGATCTCTTTGTTCACCCCCATCCTTGGGTCCTTTACTAGCATATGCACTCAAGTTAGAGTTCTACAGCGTCCTTCCTATCTGGAAATACAAGTGAATACACTGCTATTGTGTTTTCAGACACTATGACCACCTCATAGAACTGCATTAATTCATAGGAAAAATGGAGAGAGCCTACAAGCATAAAAAAGAGCACTGAACAGACTTTGGAAATATGTTTCTCAGGGAATTAATTTTGCTTATTTGATATGTGATAGTATTGAGGGTGTTGAAAACTGTACTTTATTTTCACTAAAGTCAAAAATAGAGTTAGTTCAGAAGGTATTTTGTTATAGATTGAATGAGTCTCCCCAAAATTCATCCCTAATGCCCCAGTGAGACTATATTTGGAGATGAAGCCTCTAAAAATGTAATTAAGATTAAATGAGGTCATAAGGGTATGCTTAGAGTCTTTACAGGAAGAGACACCAGGAGGTCTCACATGCTCTCTTTCTTCCTGCACTCACCAAAGAAAGGCCATGTGAAGACTTTGTGAGAAGGAGACCATATGCAAGCCAGGAACAGAGAGTGGCTTTACCAGGAATCAAAACTTACCATAAACTTGATCTTGGACTTGCAGGCTCCATAACTGTGAGACAATAAGTTTCTATTGTAAAGCTACCCAGCCTGTGGTATTTTGTCACAGAAGCCCAAGCAGACTAATATACAGATTACAAATTTGGAGACATTTTAAATATTAGAATTGAAAAACACTAAGACAGGCTACTAAAAATTAACAGATTATAGCTGGGTGTTGTTGTATGTGCCTGTAATCCCAGCATTTGGGAGGCTGAGGCAGAAGAATCACAAGTTCCAGGCCAGCCTGAGTTACATAATTAGACCCTGGCTAATAAGAAATAGAAAAAGAAAAGAAAAAAAAAATAGATTACACAGCAAGATAGAATTCTTTTTAAAAATCCCAACAGAAACACTCACTCTAACACCTCGTCACACATGCTCCCTTGCACTGCATGTGTGAAAGAACCCATACCTGCTCCTTTTCAAGCATATCAGCCTTTCTCAATATCTTCATTGCATAGATATGGCCTGTATCTTTCTTCTGGACCAGCCGCACCTAGAATATAGAATATAATGTACATATATTATAAATGTTAAATAGTCACAACTATTTGTTCAAGAGTGAAAAGTAACTTAAGAAAGCTGGAATTTGCCTCTGATGGTATTTCAGGAATTATATTTTAATACATATTTTAAGACAATATTTTCAACACTGATGACTTGAAAAAAAAAGCAGCTCACTTCTCCAAAAGCTCCTCTTCCTATAACTTTTAGAGACTCAAAGTCATCCAAGCCCAGTCTGGTCCTCTTGAGCCGTAAGAACTCTGTTTCTTTTCGAGCATGTTGTGATCGACGTAACTTTTTCTATCGAAAGAAGATAATTTAAAAAGATTTTAAAATAAGGTTGTTTCAAAGGCACTTAAAAAATGACACACATTTAAAAACAGGGTTAACGTATATTAAATATTATATATTAGTGTCATGATTTACCATCAAGTATTTATTAAACACAGAAACAAAATAATCTTAAAACATTTAACAACTGATATCTTTACTCTTAAAATAAACTCCACAAAATGTTTAAATTTTAACTAGTTTATTATATGTATCTATTTAAATCTATATCATCTATCTATATCTATATATTTAAAGTTCATTATTTCACCTATATGCTAACTTAATCCATAAAGAAATTAACTAGGGGTGGAGTCATGGCTCAAGTGGTAGACCGCCTGTCTAACAAATGAAAGGCCCTGAGTTCAAACGCCAGTACGGCAAAAAAAGGAAGGAAAAGAAATTAACTAGCTCATCACATATATAAATGTTCTTTGACATATATGCTAACCTAATTCATAAACAAAAATTAAACCTCAGAAAATGCTAGTAATATTCTTATATTTCCTTTTAATCTGTCAAGAAATCTACTTTGCTTCAGTTCTCTAATTTCCAAGGTTGCTCTCTCATAACTACTAAGATTTGTGACAACCAAATCACACAATGGCAGTGTTTCCACAGAGATTTACTTATGGTAGAATTTGTTCTTGGATAAATTTCAATAGACTGCTTGAGACTCAGCACACAACTTCCTGAAAATATGAAACAGCAAAAAAAACCCTACAGATCATTAAAATATCCAAGTCAGTAATTTCGTAACTGATTCAAAAATTAATACTAATGAGTAACATTTTGAAATACCCAAAGGTTACATTTGGAATAGTCGTTTATTTCATTGTTCTAAATCTCATTTTTTCCCCTCACCCAATAAAATTCTGGTTTTTGATAACTTCCTAGGGAAGGTAATATAGCATGGGAAATAAAATCAGTGAAAAATTAAACACCTGCTCAGTTTTTATAAACAGTCAGGTTATAAGGGAAATTAACTAAAGTAAAGATACGACAGTCATTACTTCACTTATCAAAAAGCTATCCAAATCTAGTAGCTATTAGTTGTTTTGTCTTTTTAATAGATTGCACTAAACATAGGATTTGGGAAATTTTAATCTTTTAAATAGTTTTATGCAGCTAAAATTAATTTACATAATTATGAAAAAAGTGAATTCTAGAGCAACAATGAGGATCATTTTTACCTCTTTTTACATAACCATAATGTCTGTACTCTTTTTTGTATGTAGTAGGTCTTTATGGCCCCCAAACAGAGCTTATTTTAAATTCTAAGACTACAATTTTTTTAAAGAGGTCACTTGGTGGCACTATTGTAGCATGTCCTTCCAGGTAGTAAAAAGTTTTTGTTTTTAAAATTACATAAATGAAAAAATATAAGAATTTTGAAAGATAATTCTGAATCTCTCCCTTCTTGCATTATAAAAACAGTGAATGGAAAAGATGGACCGATTTGGTAGTTTTTTAAAATATACAGACAAGCGTCAACCAAAAAAAAAAAACAACATCTGTTGAATATCTGATAAGCTATATAATACAGCAAATAAACAATGCTTACATAATTTGGGACACAACCATTTAATAGCAAAAAGGAAGAATCACAAGCGTATGAAAGGAATTGCTTGCAACATGATTACATTACTTCAAAAAATAAATCCCATGATTTTAGTTTTTTTTAGTCAGTGTTGTGGTCCAGAGGAAGCTGAAGCAAGTTCACATCTTAAAAAACAAATACATGGGAAAGCATGTTAATATATGTGCTTATGAATTGTGGAGACTAAGTAGCTTTGAAAGACAAAGGACATCTTTTGTGTTAACTAACATACAACAAAAATCTGGACAGGTTTAACATGGTTCTCTTTTACAGCTCAAATTAGTTTATTTTGGTTTTATAGTATATAATAACCCATGTTTGATGGAATTCTTAGAAGAGATGAAACTAGAAATTTTCTTCCTTTCTCCATTTCTTCTTAAATTCCTCAAACTCAATTTGTAAAATGCTCAGGTTTTATATAAGACAGACTGTATACTAAAGTTTTGAGATATGAAAGCACTCACCTAGCAACTTCATCTATTTATATACTTTACATGGCCACATTATATGGTTTCAAGTTTTTACAACTCATTTTCATGAACTATTTCAGAAATCATTTTCTATTATAGGAATGAATTATAGATGAGTACTACTTTTCATTAGAGAACTAGATTTTTTTTGTTATAAAATACCTTTATTAAAAGCTCCACCCACATGACAATTTCAATATATTTTACATTAAGTGCGAAAGTGTTTATTTTTATTAGAGAATTTGATAAAATGTAGGACCCAGCATGGGACCAAACATTAAGCATCTGTGGTATTACAATATCTTTACAGAAAAAAATTGGATTAATGGATAAAGTGATTTCACATTTTCTACAAGCTATTTTCAAGAATTAAAGAAAATAGCTGCATTTATAGTTAGTACTTGTTGATGCAGATCAGAGGGTGCAAATGGGAAGTTACAAGTTGTATCTAACCTTCAGATGTATTTGATTTGAACTCCAAGGCCAATATTCTAATCACTTGTCAGTATTTTTAAAAAGCAGATGATTTCATATGAAAGTCCAAACTTCCAGCTCTTCTTGAAAAACAGGAATTTGGCTACTCTGGACCAACTACAGGGCAATCCCCTTCAGTTAGGCAACAATTCCCTAATTTGTCACGTCTCTGTGATTGATGCCCTCCACCAGGTGACATATCTAATTGAGCAGAGGCTCATGGTTTCTTATTGTAAAGTGAAAACTGGTAGGTCTTCAATTTCTTTGTAGAAATAAAATGAAATAATAAGAATCTTATGGCTTGGATATGCAAACAAAGTGTGTCTGGGTCAAAAACAATAAACCTAAGTATTCCATAATGAAACCAACCTGCCTTGTTTCTCCTACCTGCTTGACCCTTGGGCTATCTTTTCTGAGATAAGACCTTGGTATGTAATCCAAGCTTGCCTCAACCGCCTGAATGCCAGGGTGCTAAGATTACAGAGATACACCACCATGCCCAGCTAGAACTGTATTTTTTGTGTGTGTGGTTTTTTGACCCATGCCCCCAATCCTTTTTGCTTTAGTTATTTTTGAATAGGGTCTTAAATTTATGCCTGGCCTAGCTTGGACTGTGATCCTCCCATTTAAGCCTCTCACATAGCTGGGATGACATATGCATGCCACCACCACACCCAGATTTTTATTGGCTGAGATGGAGTCTGGGCTTGAACTGGGATCTTTCCATCTCTGACTCCCAAATAGCTGGGATTACAGGCATGGACCACCACTCCCAATGGAACAATACATTTTAAGCCAAATTTTCCTGTGCTACCACACCCGGTATAGACATCTATTCTGTAATCTCTCCCTAGACTTCAAGTTAAGATTTTATGTTTAAGATTTCTACATCAATCCAACTATAATTATGCAGTTATTAGTCATAAGAAAGTTATAAGATTGATGAGAAAAATAAAGAAAGATGTGGTCAGTTTTATTTTTTCTCTATGGATTGGAATAGACTTAAATTATCACATTTCTTATTAAAATTTAAAGAGCATAAACAAAATGAGTTTTTATTTATTTTATAAAGTATTTATAAAAGTATTTTTTAAAGTATAATTTTATTTAAATATTTATTTTATTTTATTTAAATAATATTTTTCTAAATTTAAAATGTAAAAATATTTGAGTTTTCTGATTTGAGTCAAGTGATTAAAAAGTGACCACCTTTGGTATAGATCATAAAAGTTTTCTTTTTCTTTTTTCTTTTTTGTGGTACTGGTGCTTGAACCCAGGGCCTACACTTTGAGCCACTCCACCAGCCCTTCTTTGTGAAGGTTTTTTGCGAGATAGGGTCTCAGGGAACTATTTGCCTGGGCTGGCTTTGATCCGAGATCCTACTGATCTCTACCTCCTGAGTAGCTAGTATTATAGGCATGAGCCACCAGTGCCTGGCAAAAGTTTTTTATTTGATTTAAACATTGCACTATAAAGACACAGCGACAGAGAAGATTAGATAATTTTATTTAAAGTCATTATTTGGTGGTCTACTCTTTAATTACAGAAACTTTTAATTAATCGAGATTGTGATTCTCCATCACCTAGAAAATAAAGTATATATTTTTTAGTAAACTCTTCTAAAGCTAGCTTTCCACTGGTCCTGTTAACTTACCTTACAGTTTTCTTTACTGCCCCCTTTATAGCTCAAATGTAATTACTCATTATTCTGCATGTATGTTACTTTGTATATACCTCTTTCCTATAATGTAAATTCTATCCATTCTTTACATTCAAATCAATTGTCACCTCTTCTATGACATATTTTCTGATCCCCTGAGTATGTGTGTGCAGGGGAACAACCTGCATTTTCAAAGCCTGCCAAATTCTATAGTGCAGACATATTTTTAAATTTTTTTTCTGGGGGGGGGGGTGCAGTGCTAGGCAATGGCTCTACTCTGATCTACCCCTCCAGAAGTAGCACATGCACACACACAAGCATACATACACATACATAATCTCTCCTAATTTGCAAACTTCTTGAAAACCAGGAGAGGCCATTGTTCATTTATTCACCAAGCATTTATTCTAGTTCTCTGCCAGTTCTGGAGGTGGAATGCTGAAGAGACACTATGGAGTGTCTACACTCTGGAAAGATGGTATTTTAAGGCTACCACAAGTATAGAAACAATGTTAAGGTAGAATGTAGGACAAGTACTTGATTAGGGAGGATTTCCCAGTGGGAATGATGAATAAAATGAGACCTAAAACTCCTTGAATAGTTGGAATTGAATAGGAGTAAAAAAGAGTTCCAAGTGGCAGAAATAGCCTGTGAAGGTCCACAAGCAAGATAGGAAATTAAAGTAATTTAATATTGGTCAGCGTAGGGGGGCAGTGACAAGAGATGAGATTAGAGAAAAAGAAGCAGAGGCCAATGTAAAAAGTCCTATAAACCAGTATTAAAGAGTCTACCCTTATCCTGAAAGTGTAATAAAGAATATTAAGCAAAAACGGGGCATGATTAAATGTTTTCAGATAGGTAACTCTTTTTGAAGTGTGCAAAAAAACCAGAGCAGCAAGTAGAGAGACCAACTCAGGACACAATCATTTTTCAGGTAAAATACATAGCAGCTTAAATTAGGGTAGCTGTGCTATACCAGAGATGTAAATGGTTTTTAAAAAATAGAAAAGGCCAGGTGCCAGGGGCTCATACATATGATTCTAGCTACTTGGGAGGCTGAGAGCAGAGGATCCCACTTCCAGGCCAGCATGGGCAAAAAAGTTTGCAAGACACCATCTCAGTGGAAAAACAAAACAAAAACAAAAATACCTGAGAGTGGTGGTGTGTGCCTGTCATGAAGCATAAAGTAGGAGGACTTGGTCCAAGTGGGAATGAACAAAAGGCAAGACCGGATCTCCAAAAACTAATCAGAGCAGTAAAAGGCTGGAGGCATACCCCAAGTGGTAGAGAGCACCTGCCCTGAGTTCAAACCCCAGTACAGAAAAAAAAAGAAAAAACAACCTTTTTCAGAAAAAAAACTTGAAGCTGGGCGCCAGTGGCTCTCGACTATAATCCTAGCTACTTGAGAGGCAGAGATTAGGAGGATCACGGTTCAAAGCCACCCCAGGCACATAATTCATGAGACCCTATCTCAAAAACCCCATCACAAAATAGGGCTGGTGGAGTGGCACAAATGATAGAGTGCCTGCTTAGCAAGTGTGAGGCCCTGGGCTCAAATCCCAGAACTGCAACAACAACAAACGTTTTTTTGAGACGAGTGAAGCAATGAACTATTCCTTTTGGGAGTCATGTTTCTTGTTCCACATACCAAGTACTACAGATAATGTTCACAAAATATATGTTCTTGGATTTAGAAAAAAAGGTGTCTCCTTCTAAAGGTATCCATCCATGTTTGCAATAAAGAAGCCCATATTCAAATGATGAAATTCCTATTAAGGTATAAAATCAGCTGACAGTGATAAATGAAAGAAAATCACTGGGGTTACTTTTGTATAGTTATTACATGTAATTTACATTACCTCTTCATCTGCTAATCCTTCTTCTTCCATGGCCACTTCTAATTTCTTCTGCCTTTTCAAAAGGAAAAAATAGAATTTTAAGAATGTTCCTATTTCCATTTAAGAAATATACATTTATTTATTCAAGTTAACCATTTTTGCATGCTATGTATAAAAAATCTTTCAAATAGATCAAGATTCAACTATTCACTAAGAATAGTTTCTTTCTCAAAATATAAACATTAACTTTTCTTTTTTTTTTTTCTGGTGCAGGGGATTGAACCCAGAGCCTCACATGTGGCAGGCAAGTGCTCTACTACTACTACTGACCTGTACCACCAGTCCAAAGCTTTCTTCACTTTCTTGCATAAATGATTGCTAGTTAGGAAAGGTGACTCATGTTTAAATATGGAGAACTCTATTATCTAATATCATTAGTATTTCTCAATGCTTAAGCTAGAAGTATGGAAAGGTAACGATGCTAAAAGTATACATTTTTAAGTTGGACATCCCTGAGTTTGAGTCCTGGTTTTAATTTAACACTTATTAGTGAAATTAGGTTGTGTCAGTCCCTTTCTTTTTCTTAATCAAGGAAAAATGTTCAGTGCAATTGAGTGTATTTTATTTTATTAAAATTTCTTTTTTTTGAGATACCAGAGTTTGAACTCAGGGCCTACATCTTGAGCCACTCCACCAGCCCTTTTTTGTGATGGGTTTTTTTGAGATAGGGTCTCATGATCTATTTGCCTGGGCTGGCTTTGAATTGTGATTCTCTTGATCTCTGCCTCCTGAGTAGCTAGGATTACAGGCGTGAGGCACTGGCGCCTAGCTATTAAAGTTCTTTGAAAATTAGAAGGCCATATTAAAAAAATAACCTAATTATCAGAACATTTGTATTCTGAGATATAGCCAAATTTAGATATTCATTATTTTTTAAATGGCATCCTTGAAATTAGTTAGGAATTTAGGATTGGGAAGGTGTGGGTCAAGTATCTAGAGATGGTTATGGAATAGTTTAAAACTCATTTTCAAGTAAATAGTATTTTGTTTCTATTGCATTGACTTTTCCTAAATATAAATGTCAGAGAACTCTTCCTAATTAGTTCTGGAATATGCCAGACAGATTACTGTTCTAGGATTTACCCAAATGCATAAAAGGGTTGAAGATTCAAACTATCATGTACATTTTTTGGTTATTCGGTATTTGTGACATATATCCAAACATATTCTCTTTTTTAAACCATAATTAAGATCAATTATTTCTCTTTCCTACAGAAAATTCATTACAAAGAATCTAAAGCCTCTTGGTAAATCAGCAACTTGAAGGAGAAGATGAGTTTTAGTATTTCTCCATCCACACCTTTCCCACAACTTATCATATGCACCTATTGAAGCACTTATCACACTTTCATCTTTTGCTTACATATTATTTCCCCAGACTTCACCCTTAAAGTGGAATAAGCATTTCATATCAGATTCTGTGTCTCTTGGTGAGTGATTTCTAATTTTCTCTGAGGAAGATTCTAAGAGTAAGAGGACCATCATTCTGGGAGGGATAATCAACTCACAAATAACTTAATTGTCTGTCAAACCTGTACTGCACCATTCCCTCAATTTTTGCCAAGACTAATACTTCATGAAATCATCTCTGATTCCAGAAGCAGATAACAGCAAATTTTATCCATTTCTATCAAATCTGAATAGGAAGATACATGACTTCTCATGTACCCCTTTTAAAAGTAGCTTTCCCTCTAAAATGCTCTTACCCTTTAATCAGTTAGTACTTGAGTAGGCTTATGCATTTATCCATTTAGTTAAGCCTCAAAAATACATCACATATTTTCTTAAAGTATAAGCTTTCAGAAAATATGAGCTGCTTAGCTAATGTCATTTCCACAGCACCATGCTGAGAATTCGTTTAAAAAGCAGGTATTTTTATTCTTACTTTCCTTTGGGAACAAAAAACAAAACTGAGTCATTTTAAAGTTTCAGCCACAGAGAAAGAGAGAGAACCTTTAAAACTGTAAGGAATAACTGAAGTGCTTGTGTTTTTTTTTTTTTAAAGCACAGGTTTTTCATTTCTTGGTTCTCTAGTATTTTATTTACTCTTCTATGATCTATGTCAAGGACTTTAACTACAATTATGGATATGTTCTGAATCATCTCTGATTTACTTTCTCCTTTCTATTTTATTTTTTCAGGTTTTCTTTCAGGGAGGGGGTAATTCTTCAGTTTTTCTTAATCTCTTGAACTGATTTCTTTTTTCTTATGTCATTTTTTTTTTCCTTTTACTAGTTTGGAAGTTACTATTTTTTATTCTTTTAGTGGCGACCCTAGAAATTACAACATATGTGCTTAACTTGTCAAAGCTTAAAGTTAATTAATCTTTATTCTCTTTGTACAATGATCCTTAACATTTAATTCCAATTACTGCTTTCCTGGCTTACAGTCTATCTCTGGAAAATATTTTAATTCTAATTTTTAGTTTAATTAATTAATTAATTAATTTTTTGTGCTGCTGGGGATGGAACCTAGAGCCTCAAACAAGTATCCTACACTGAACTATTCTCTCAGCACTAATTCTGTTTCTAAAATGCAATGACATTATTATTCCTGCTATGGTTGTATACAGATGCTCCTCGGCTGATGCTAGGATCACATGACAATAAACCCATCATAAGTTGAAAGTAGGAGTGAGATTCCAAGATGGTAACTAGAGGGAGGAAGCAGAAAGCGTGCTTCCTAAAGTAAAATCTTGGAGACATGCTGAAGATACACCTTGCAGGAAAAACCACCAAGAAGAGGCAAAACTCCGGTATTTCCACACCCCCAGCCCGCGCATAGCATCCCCACTCCATGTTAAACGGAGAAACCAGGAGGGCTCCTGTGCTGCCAGATGCCAGCTCCTATCCTGCTTGGGAGAAGCAGACCACCAGGTGAGCTAAGAGGCATGCGGTACTCCCACAGACAACCCTGGGCCAGATCAGCATAGCCCCCTGGACAGGTTGACCCTCACCCAGGGGAAAAAAAAAAAGAGAGAAAAAAAACAAACTGAATAATAAACAAGCAGCTGAAAAAAAAAAAAAAGACATGTAGCAAAGAGGGTGGGGCACCCTGAGCTCTGGAGAGTGGGGGAGAGGGCAATCCCTCACACCAACTGTAAATAAACAAGCCCAAGCCGGCTGGAGAAGGCAGGAGTGGTGGCACCAGCCCAGCAATTTTGGAGAGGGGAATGCTTGTAACAGTGGCTGTCATAAGGAAAGCTCCACCAGAGCGGGGAAGGGGCACTTCTCCACACAAACTGTAAGTAAAAAAAAAAAAAGACAGCAATTGCAAAAAGCGGGTAGGGCTGAATACTGGAGAAAGCAAAAGGGACATGAATCCAGGAGAAGTCTAAATAAACAAAGCCTGCAGCAGCAGATGGCTGACAGTAGGAGGCAGGTGAGCCGCAGACTCAGATAGACAGTCACAAAGCTGTCTCAAGACTCCCCTTTCTTTTTTTTTTTTCCTTTTCCTTTGATGAGAAAACAACACCAGATGCTGAAAGGCTAAATGAAACTGTATTGCATTTGAACTTGGGATATATTTTTCTTATTTTTGTTTTTTTCCCCTTTGATGACAAACTGACAGAATTACTTCACAGACACTGAGAAGTCTTCAAGACTAGAGGTTGAAGGACTAACACCAAAATTATTAAGACTGAAACTTTATTGCATTTGAAGTTGGGCTTTTTTTTTTTAATCCTCTCCCTGTCTCTCTAATGCCTCTTTAGCTTACTGTTGATTAGTACACTATCTCACCCTGCTTATTTCTTTGACTCTATTTTTTTGTTTGTTTTGTTTTCCATTTTTCTTTACCTTCTTCCCTTTCCCTCACTTCTCACTCTTCCTTTCTAGATATCACCATTGTTATTATTACAAGTAGACAATACTGAATTACACACAGTACAGGAACAGTAACAATAGCAAGGGCAATGATAGGAAGTCGGAAAAAAGAGGGAAACCACTTTCCCCCCAATAATGAATTAGCACAGGAAACAGAGGGAAATGAACAAATCAGATACCCAGATCCAGTTTCCAACAAAATGAAGATAAACTATGCCAAAGAACCCAATGAAGACCACAAGAACAACATGAAAGAAGAAATCCTGCAAGTACTCAATAAGAATTTTATAGAGATGATACTGGATATGGTCAACCAAAATGTACAGGAGACACTCAAGAAATTCCAAGACAATAAAAATAGAGAATTTGAGAAAGCAGAAAAACAGATAAAAGAAACAACAGAAGCACTGTATAAACACCAAAATGAAACAAAAACATGATAAATAAAGACAATATTAAAGAGGAAGTGACTCAGGATATGGAAAACCTCAGAAAAAAGAACAAAACAGAAATGCAAAACAAAATGGAAGGCCAATCCAGCAGACTAGAACAAGCAGAAGACAGAATCTCAGAACTCAAAGATGAAATGTTAAGTAAAGGAAAAACTGAGTATAAGTTCAACAACCTGTGAAAAGAAAATACAAGAACTTACTGACTTCATCAAAAGACCAAACCTGAGAATCATGGGCACTGAAGAAGGAGAAGAGGTGCAAGAAAAAAGAAATTCATAACATACTCAACAAAATAATTACAGAAAAATTTCCCAAATCTAGAGAAAACTATGCCCATACAGGTACAGGAAGCCTCCAGAACACAAATCAGACCAGATAAAAATAGAACTACTCCACAACATATCATTAAAACAACAAGTTCAGAAACTAGGAAAAGAATATTGAAGGCTGTAAGAGAGAAAAAACAATAACATACAAGGTAAACCATCAAAATCACAGCAGACTTCTCAACAGAAACATTAAAAGCAAGAAGAGCTTGGGGAGAGATCTTCTGGGTACTGAATGAAAATAACTTCAACCCCAAGATACTCTACCCAGCAAAACTATCATTCAAAATAGATGAAGCAATAAAAGTCTTCCATGATAAGCAGAAACTAAAACAATATATGACCAGAAAGCCACCACTACAAATGATTCTTCAAGGGATTCTGCACACAGAAAGTAAAACCCAACATAAC